TCCAATCTCACAGCCATGATATCATTCCACAGAATTATTTAGCGTCGATTATTCCCTCGGTGCCAACTGACTTCTCTTACTCCCCAACAGCTCAGGCACTAATCAGCACCACAAACCAGCAGATTCCTGATATTCCTGATATCCAGCGATACGGGGGACCTGCCTTCCCCAGGACACACTTACACAGATCTCATCGAATTTCCCGAAGTCCACGGTGCCGTATCGGTCAATGGGCGGCCGGATGTACTCGCAGTAGTCGCTGCTCTTCACCATCTCCAGCTGCCGCACACAGCACACGTACGCAAGCCGCGTCTGGATCTCTGCCATGTTCAGCACCTGCCAACCAGGCCAGACACACCGATCGTGATTAATTCAGAAATTTCATTGCAGAATACGTTCTGCATTCACAATGGAGAAAAAAAGCGAGTTATCATTTTTTTTTTCTTCTTCTCCCCCAAGAGCACACAGAAGCCTTCACACATCAGCACCTCCATCTGTTTCCCAGGCAGTGCGGACAGCTAAGCCCATGAGTCTCCATAATCAACAGCAGAAAGGGAATTGTCTTCAAAGATATTTCTGCAGTTCAAGGTTGAACTGAGTCTTTCATCGCAGGATACAGGGGTACTTTAAGTCAGAGATCTGGGCTGAAGGGAGAGGGGCACAGTGGTCCGTCAAGGCAGAAATCAGTGATGATCTCTACAGTACCAGGGCAGATATTTCACAGAATGGCTGAGGTTGACAGGGACCTCTCGAGATCACCTAGTCCAACGCTCCTGGATCAAGAAGGGTCAGCTGGGGCAGGTTGTTCAAGACATGTCCCCCTGAGTTCTGAATATCTCCACAGATGGAGACTCTAGAGTCTCTCTGGTTGGCTGGTGTTTCACCACCCCCAGTAAAAAAAAAAAAGTGTTTTCTGGTGTTCAGAAGGAATCTCATGTTTTCACGTGTGCATATTGCCATTTGGGCAGTTGTAATGTTTCACTGGGTGCTCTTGAGAAGAGTCAGGCTCTTCCATCTTCTCCCACTGGAAGCAGCATAGTCAACTCTGCCAAGGCACAGCAGGGCACTCCAGAGCTGCACCAAATCCAAAAGGCCACTTCTCAGGGAGAGGAGACCTTTTCAGGGAAGGGAGTTATTACAGAGGAAAGACTTCAGGTTACCCAAAGTTTGTAGAATTTTCCCTAACTTGGGAAAGCACTTCCAGTTCCAAGAGCAGAAAGTGTTAACTGTAGTTGGGAGAGAGAAAGAAAAACAGTATTCACTTGGGAGACAGCTGCAGAGTCAGATAATTTCGGAAATGCCGAAGAGTAAGTAACGGATTTGGCTTGACTGTATGCAATGAGAGGGCAAAAAAACCCTAAAAGCATGCTCTGCAGCTCTGCATTTATCAGTAGTAGTAACGTTAATTACTGACTAGTGCTAAAACCTCCCTACATCAACAGTTCAGAGACATATAGGATAGATACACTGAGCTGGACAAAGTTACTACTTTTATTGATAAAACCCATAAATTCTGACTTTATCAAAACTTAATGCACCTTTAAAAAAGGGGTTTTTTTGCTCTAACAATTCTACCATTCCCTTCCCAGACTGGGGCTGCCCATGTCACTGCCTTTCCTTTGGTGTCAGGGCACTGCCCAGCTGTCTTTGTCCATGAGTAGGAGCTCAAACCCAAGAAAGAGGGCAGTCTGCCACCAGGCTGGCTCCCCGAACGAACAAAGGGAAGCTTCCTGCTTCGTACATCAAAACAGCTGCCATTTTAATATAGTCTACAATACCTTGACTTTCTCGGCCAGTGGATTCCATCTCTTCCAGAGCAGCCACCAGCCGGACAAGCAGTCGCCGTAGTTGGTGAGGTCTGTCTCATCCCGGCTGCCCACATCGATCGCGATGACCACCTTGGCGCCCATGGACCTCGCGACGTCAGCTAGTGGGAAAGAAGGTCGTATCAGCACCAGCCTGCCAACCCCGGTGCTGCTCACGTACCTACTGCTAGGGAGGGTCTAACCTGAGGCTGTACCTACCATCAGTGTCTCCAAACAGCCTCACATACGAACGTTTGCAGCATCTCTGCCAAGAGACCCTTCTCCCCTCGGGAAGGCTCCCAACCTGTCTGCTCCATTTTAAAGGAGAGATCCCAGTGTGCTGCCTGGTCCGCTCCGACCGAGCCCCTGCATAACCTCAGGGTGAGTTCCCATTGCTGAACTGCTGGCAAACATCACTCGTGGGCTAAGTTTTACCCCAGGCTGGCAGGATGACCCGACTCTCTCCGAGCCCACGGTCACCAGAACCAAGATGCAGGCAGGGAGCAGGGTCCACAGCGACATCACACCAGGTACAATGTGAAAGAGCACATGAAATCCACACTCATTCTACCTCATTTCTCACGGGAACAAAAAAAAAAATCAGGGAACCTGCAGAGAGAACAAGTGGCAGTGGCCTTCAGGAGGAGAGTCAGCAGTGCAATGGTCAGCGCTGCAGGCAGGAGGTAGAAAAGGAGCAGCACAGGAACCAGACAGCAGGAGAGGCTGGGAGGATTTCAGTCTAAGAAAGGCTTTGGGATCCAAGAGAAAGATTCGTATTTGGAAGTGGAAGAGAAATGAGGCAACGCTTCCTATTTCAAGGTCAGTAAAAGGACTAGCTGCAGCCTTTGGATACGGGTGAGGATTTAGGGAAGTGCCAAAGGAGGGAAGAGAAGGACGTGTACCTCGCAGAATGAATTTATATTCCTTCCACGCCCCCAGAGTCCAAGATAGTTGCAGTTTCCAGAATAGTTATGCGTAGGAAAACCACAGCTCTGAAGAGCCAATTTAGCTGCTTAATTTAGACACTTATTTAAATCAGATCTGTTCTGTAACTTGGATTTATATTCCTGCGCTCGTTCGGTCTATTGTATCTTTTCCACCCGGTGTCACCCGCGCGTGTGCTCTTTGTCACCTCTCCAGTATGTGCAGGTGGAAAAGGTGTCCCAGTTTGCAATTCCCACTTTTGCTTACGGACACAAACAGAAGGTCAGATGCAGATTTGGGGGATTTATTTTGTGCGATTTCCGTTTCTGGTTTTTAAGCAAATACAGCTCTGATGGAAAAATATCGTCTGGGTTTGTTGGGAACATGTCAATGATTTGGGTTGCTGAGATGCAGAGTCTCCAGCTTAGATTCCTTCCTCTTTGTTTGTACACAATTACAGTCCCCAAATTGCAGTGACACTAATATCTCTCTCCTATCTTGGTCACCCTCCTGCCTCACCCACCTTCCAACGCTTTCCAACTACGATGACAACCCTGACATAAAACATGTCCCAAACACACACAAGTGGGTTCACACGCCTTGGACCCTTTTGGGTTCAGTCCTCGAACACCCCAAATTCCACATCACTCTTTTGAACACCGTATGATTCCAGCCATGTCGTGTGCTAGCAGCTAACCACGGCCCCGACGTCAGACAGCTGAACCCTTCGGGCTCTGCGTGAGACCAGTCTGAACAATGAAGAGTTAATGTTGCTTTGTCAGAATATATTTCTTATTCAACTGATACTTTTTGAAAAGAAACTCAAAGACAGACTAGATGTTTGCAGTTTAATTTCTGCTCTCTCCTTTCAGTGAGCACTAAAATAAATTCAAAATTAGTTTTGAATTCTATGTTCAGAATACACCTATTAGGAAAAACTTCATAACAAAAAAATAGTCTTAATAAAGTCATGATAAAGCAAACACCTCAGAAACTGAGAACAATGACTCCTGGTAACCATCACGAGATTAAAGGTGCCTGCAATATTTCTCCTTGTTTCCTTTTTCTGGGGAGGGGGTGGTGGGAAGAGGACAGAGTTTTGCAGTCTGTTTGCCAGGCTGTGTTCTCAGTGACTTCTTCCCAACTGACCTGTGCACCTACCTGGCAGATTGTTGATATAACCTCCATCCATCAAGAGATGCCCATCCTTCGGGTCACAGAGAGGAGGCATATACCCAGAGAGGGACATGCTGGCACGGACGTACCTCCACAGAGAGCCTGCAGGAATGGAAGGGAAGGAACAAGCAGCAGCATTAATTACTGCTGCAGAGGTGGGGTAAGCTTTTGCATTCGTTAAAATAACCGGGAGATAGAGGTTCTCCTGAGAATTCCATTAGAAAGTTATTAAAGCAGTTTATTATTTTCTGTACCATAATCCTGGCTAGGAAAATATAAAAAAAAAAAGGCTATTCAGACATACTATCAGGCAAAGGCCTTAGGAAACCCAGTTTTAAGCCCATGCCTCATATTTAGTGCCTTCAAGGAGATTTCAGCACATGCCTGACTGCGGGGATCGTCTTTAGTGCTTTGTGGAGCTTGTGCTGGTGAGGAAAGGAAAAGGCTTCTCCTGGGGACACAGGGATAAGAAGAATGAGGAGACTGAAGTGCAGTTCGAGCCGTTATGTTCTACAGAGATCCACAAACCCCAGACCTTTAGCAGGAGCTGAACATGAAAAATACGTGCTGTAGAAGTGCAAAAAGTCTGTTTTCCCCGCTCTGTAACAAGCAAACATCTTCACTCGTAAAACCAGTGCAAGTGCACGGTGGCGATCTTATCTCTGCGGAGGATTTTCTGTTAATGGTGCTGTGAGGAAGAAAGTCATAATCTTTTAAGCTGCTAGAAACAGAAGGTTTAATTGAGTAGGAATTGATTGGATCTGTTTCCTGTAAAACATTCTGCTTTCAGGCTCTTATTTACTGATTTCTCTCTTAACATTTGCATCAGCTGAATTGGGAAGACACTGCATTTCCAGAGAGGCCAAGAGTCTCATCTGAGAAGCAAATCCTTAAAATAGCAAAAATAAGTAAAACTCACAGCTCACTCCTCACCAATTAACTACCCGGTTCTTCAAACAGCAATTCTTTCCAGCAAACTGGGAATCGATTTTTTATTTTCTTTTTAAAATATTATGACAATTCTGTTTCTAATTATAACTTAAGTACTCCTACTGTTTAGCACAGGTCAATACTGATAGATTTGGATTTCATTATTAATAGTTTTAGTTGAGTTGGAACTTCCACCCAAGAAAAATACTGACTTCTTGTGTTACACCCCACAGATGAAACCAAGGTGGGCAATTAGAGCAGCTGGGAACTTCCTTCCTCTCCTTTCAGTGAATTCTGGAGACGAACACAGCCATTCTCCAGCTGATTTCTACCCTTATATTAAACTTCTGCAGGGAAAAGTGGCTGGATGGGGTGAATTCCCTGACTTCGGTTGGCTTAACCTGCTGCAGAACGGGAATACAAAGCCTCTAAGAAAGGTGAATCCTTCTTCTGCTTGTTTTAGCTGCCTTGGCTGCCCTCGGTGAACAAAGCCCCTGTGTCAGTGTAACTTAATGGTTCTGCAACCCACGCCCGAACGGCAGGAATGGAAAATCTTACCTGGGCCAGCTCGGAACACAAAACATCAGAGCCGTGGCAGCAAAGGCTTCAGCTACCCAAGGAAATATCTGGGGCACCTGGTAGGCTTAGACTGTCTTCAGTGAAGCCTGAGTCACAGCAGTTACCCCAAATAGCCAGACAAAAGCTAAAGCAAGTGTCCCACAGGGCTGCCACCACCACCTCCTGACAGCAGAGCAGACAGCACAGCGCTGCCCTCTGCTCAGTCCCCAAGGTACATCCCAGTTTTCCACCAGAGAAATAAAGAGGACTGGACACAAATGAGAACCTAACCCAGCCTCTGCTTCAGGCACAGGAGTCTCATTATTGGGAAAACAGCTTCATTTCTGGGGAATTTGAATGTTAAAATGTTTTGGTCGCATTAGTCTGATTTATGGCTCAAACACCTGCACTTCACAGGATGTTTTATGGAAACAGAATGGTGTCAATGGACCCATTTTCTCTCTAAACAGTGAATACAGCATCTCATTTAATTTCTTCAACAGCTCTGTTCCTTGTTACCTGGGTACAACCACAGTCTGGTGCTCAGCAAACAACGGAGAAGGAGAAACAAAAGCAAAGACAACTTTAAAGGTGAGAAAAAAAAAAAAAAATCACAGGAACAAGGGGTGATACAAAGTCTCACGTTATTATTTACAACCTGCTGCCAGAAAGGTTGTTATTTACAACTCACCATCCGTGTGGACCCTCATTGCTGAAGCAGTGATGTCGGTTGTAATAGTGAAGTAGGGAATCCACAGATCCTGCAAGAGAGAAGGTCCCAATTTTACTAGATCCGTAACCTTGCACTTAAACTACAACCCACATGTAACACGAACCAAAGCAACAACCTCTGTATCTAAACAGAGCTGTAGACACAAACGGCTGCATGGATGGAGAAAAACCTGTCAGCCCTGTGTTAAAGTTCATAAATTTGTTTCTTATGCAAACATTTCATGCAGAACCAAGGCAGACAAGAATCCTTATTTCCTTTTTTTAATAGCAAGAAATACTTGTTCCAGAAGATGTTCCAGCGTACAGAGCAGCACAGAAACCTCATCATTCAAACCAGGAGTTCACCTTCTTCCTGATACCTGCTTTTCTTGCAGATGAAGTGAGGGGTGTCTGATAACTCTCATCTAAAGAGATCCCTAGGCTATTTATTGCTGGACGACAACTTGAAGGGAAGACTCACCTTTCATGTATTTGGTTCTTTTCTAGGTCTCTAGACCTGCTGCTTTTGGCCTCCCCCGGACACATGGCACTAAAGAAGATAGACCTTTGATCTCGCCCAATATGGCCATTCTTGCATTTCACCCAGCTGTTTCCACTCAGGGTGGTGTTTATCCACTACACAGAGCAAGTCTTCCATAATTGTATTCACCATCGATGGGCACAGAGTCATAGAACGGTTTGGGTTGGAAGGGACCTTCAAGACCATCTAGTTCCAAACCTCTGCCATGGGCAGGGACACCTTCCACTACACCAGATTGCTCAAAGCCTCATCCAACCTGGCCTTGAACACTTCTAGGGATGGGGCAGCCACAACTTCTCTGGGCAACCTGTGCCAGTGCCTCAGAACTCTCACAGGGAAGAATTTCTTCCTTAGATCTAATCTAAATCTCCCCTGTTTCAGTTCAAAGCCATTGCCCCTTGTCCTGTCACTACACGCCCTTGTTCAAAGCCCCTCTCCAGCTTTCTTGTAGCCCTTCAGGTACTGGAAGGCTGCTGGAAGGTCTCCCCGGAGCCTTCTCTTCTTCAGGCTGAACAGCCCCAACTCTCTCAGCCTGTCTCCATAGCAGAGGTGCTCCAGCCCTCGGATCATCTTCATGGCCGCCTCCCGCCCCGCTCCAACAGCTCCATGTCCTTCTGATGTTGGGGACTCCACAGCTGAACTCAGCACTGTAGGGGGGATCTCACAAGAGCAGAGCAGAGGGGCAGAATCACCTCCTTCTCCCTGCTGGCCACGCTGCTTTGGATGCAGCCCAGAACACGGTTGCATGCAACTACTCAGTTCCCCTTAACCCCAACCTAAGACTGTAGCAAGCAGCATCTTTCTTGACTCACTTCCTGAGACACCACAGCCCAAGACAGACAGAGGGAAGAATATGGTCTCTTGACTAAATGACATTCCATTTGTACCTCGTGGTGATGAGGCCAGGGGTCATTTCAGCCGGAGATGCCGAGCAATGCTGCTGAGAGCACGCAACGCTTCGCAGCATTACCTACAGGAATAAGGGATCCTGCAAGGTAGATCTTCAAGACAACCCCAGAGGTTGCCTGAGATACAGCAGAGTAAAACAGCAGTGAGGAGTGTGGTACATAACCTACCTAAAGCAGGACGACACACAACAAGAATGGGCAAGCCAGGTCCTTCACAAGTTTACTCAACAGGGCTAGACCAAGCCAACACATGCTGCTCCTGGTAGGGGAAGTTCTGTTTTGTTTCAGCCATGTCTGTACTCACATCCCACTAGCTGGAAAAACTGAAGGGGAAAGCAGCCTCCCAACTATGGAGGAGTTTGTTGGAGAGAGGACAGTTTTGGAAAGTCTCCATGGTACCTAGTGAAAATGTAACCTGCAAAGGGGAAGGAGGACGACTTGTTTCAATAAACTGATTTATGCCCAGAGAAAAACAGTTGCTAGTTCTCTGTCAATCAGCAAAGCTGAATCAAGACCAAAAAGGTAAACCTGCTTTCCCACCCGCCTGCCTCTTTGTTCACGGGACGAGGTGTCGGGTCTTCTCTGGCATAGCTTTGATGTGCCTTAACCTCAAACCAAGCAAGGGTTTGGACCTCAGCTCTCAGTAGGAGCTCAGAAGCAGCCCCGCTCCGGTCAGTCTGTATTTCTGGTGTAAGCTTCCACGCTGCTCAATACGAAATTCTGAACTGCCGAGGAGGAGGGTTTTTTCCAGAGAGTTTAATCTCTTAAGCAGCTCTGCAAAGATGGTGGAATTGGGGAGGACTAACAGATGCTGCAGAAGTATCACCAGCTGGTAGAAATGCCAGAGGAGGGTGGATGAATCAAGTGTGACTACGAGAGTATTAGGGGTGCCTCTCCACGCTAAAGATACTCAGACAATTGCAGATTTCAGTGCATCAACCATATTTTAAGCAAAAACAGGGGAAGGGGGAAGAAGTCTGACGCTTCCTTTCATACTCACGCAAACATGTGCACGAAGGAAACTAAACCAAGACCTACCACGCAGTAACAGACTGCATTTCTCAGGTATCATTTCCTCCACATTGGGGACAGAGCATTATTCAAGCCCAAAACAGGACTTGATAAAAGTCTTTTCTGATTCCTCACACCTCACCCCCAGCTCAGACGACTTGCGAGAGCATTCTGTGCTTCTGGCATGGCGGATAAAAATTCCAGAGTCTGGTCCTCTCCTGGAAGGACACGTAATTCCAGAGGAGCAATAACTGTATTTCTTGAGAAATATCCTTCCAGCGCCCTGCCCTGGGTTTCTGTGCGCTTTCCTGGAATGACTCGCACAGGCTGCTCTCTGCTCATGGAGCATCTTTGGCTGACACCTGCAGCAGCCATCACGGGGGTTGCTGGTAGCCAGGGCTACTCCACAAACAGCACCGCTGGCCATCAGGAGGGTGTCCTACGTCACAAGGGCTGTTGGAGAGCGAATTTAAGAGAAAACGGAGGAAACCTCCCTTTCTATGTCAGAAAGAACAGTTCAACCAAAGTGCTTCTGCTCCCTGGCTCTGATGCAGAAGGGGGATGAGGGCACGTGTGAGAAGTGCAGGAGTACCACCTCACAGCCCAGGGTAGTAAACAGGAGGATCCGGTCCAGTGCTTCCTAATTTTAAGCTTTTATAGAGACACAAGGGCCAGTACCCAGCCCAGCCTCTTGGGTAGGAAGTTCTCAGGCTCTGCTACCATCACTGTGGATCTTCCCAAGAAGGAGCAGTTGTGGCCAAGCATCCAAACACAACCTTTGTTTATAAGGCTGTAATTAACTCTCGTTAGGATGTATTTCCAGTCGGAAATCATTGCTACGCACTCCTCTCCAAAAACACTCCAACTACTGAGAAAAGATGAGTATTTGCAATTGGGATGCCTTGAAACAAGGCTTTAAGAAAACATTTGTTCAAGGCTTAACGTGCCTTAGTCCAGCTTCTGTTACTTGACAAGTTACCCTTTACACTTCGGCAGCCTCCAATGTCTGTCTGCCCAGTGACACGTGACATGACTGGTCAACCTGTGCAGATAACACGAATCGCAGTGCAGGGGTAACTGCCTCTTTCCTTGCAGAGCTACACAACATTTCTCCCTTCTTATCTGATGGAAGTCTTCCAACGTGAGGAAGTCCTCAGGCACAGACTGAAGGGTTTAGCCTGTGACACTCCGCACGCGCGCACAAAGATGCTGCTGCACGCCTCAGGACTGGATTTCTCTTGGATGATCTCTCAGGTCTTTTCCAACCTAGAAATCTATGAAATCATCTATGAAAATCCTCCTGTGACTGCAAGGTTAGACCAGATGGTGCTGTTAATTGTAAGGAAGGAATCTACTGCATCTTAAAGCGATGTACAATCATTTAACTGCTGAAATCCAAAGCAGTGATAGTGCAGGAGATGCTGGGGTCGCCTGAAGTTTTCATTAATTTTGTCACTCACTCCTCTAAAAGCTCTGCTCAGCGTTACCCTACAGCCTCACGCTGCAACGTACCATCCACAACTCACACCAAGTTAACCCGGAGAAGACCACACCACCGAGAAGGTCTCAGTGCTCTGCAGAAGCTCCTCAGCTGTGTCAAAGCAAGCAGAGAGGAGCTGGTTTAGTCATGGGACAATCACATGTCTTCCTATCAGGCACTGCTGGAACCACAGACAGGAGCTGGAGTGCTTCAGGAAGCGATTCGCACCGCTAAAGAACTGAGAGTGTGGCTGGTGCTGCCTGAATAACAAAATTAAAATAATTCCAGTCTCAGAAGGATTTATCACTCTAAAACCTGTTTGCTCCATCCACTCTGCACAGCAAAATGCCATTTGAAGCCACGTGATGATTAATCACTTACTTCATACTTGCATTTAAGTAGGGAATGTTTTACACTGGTTTTAATAAATATATTTAAAGTATATATAGCGTTAATTTGCTACATGATCTTTCGTCACACGGATTCCAAACACAGCAATAGTTTGGTTAAAACTGCAAACGAGGTCAGGCTGCAAGGCTGCCCAAGCACTCGGTAAGCTTGGTGATGCAGGAAGGCAACCATTGATCATGAGCCTTCTTTACTGCGGGGCGGAGGATGGGTGGGACTCCCAGCACGGGCAGGCAGACCACCCAACACGTAGCAATGGTGAAAGGCCACCGTATGCAAACCAGGAGACACCAGGAGACTTCCACATCAGTGCCGCTGCCAATATGCTGTTCACAAAAACTCATTCTAGCTTTACAAATAAAATAAATTTAAAAAGTCAAACCCGTTGCTACTCTCTTCAGCACGTGCTTCTGGTGTGCCCGAAGGGTCTCCTAGACCCAGCTTACAGAAAAATAATGATAAAACAGTCTCAGCAATTTTACTTCAGTGACACAATTTATCGTCTGCTCTCAGACGACGGGATCCCTTTGCCAAACAGAACGCGAGTAGCTACAAATAATCCACTCCTTGCGTTTTCTAAATCCACCAAAATGAAAGAATAGGCTCCTTCCTATATTCATATAACATCACATTCACAGTTTTAACATGTTTTCAGTCATCCCACGGCCCCATCTCATATTAGCATGGGAGAAAGCTATTTCTGCTACAGCAGTACAGTGACATCATTTACTATACATAAAATAAGGAACCTACCTCTATCTGCTTATCTTTGAAGATGCTGTTAATGCTTTTGTTAAAAGTAGCTCCAGAAAACATCGAGGTTATTGGATACGTCAAGTCTAGAATAGTCTTAAACACTGAGTTCATAACCTAAAAAGAAAAAAAAAAAAAGAAGTATTTCAAAAGGTAAATATACGCAAGAATCCACATCAATGTATGCATTAACATATGCAATTCGAGAGACATCACATTCCAGATTCGACAGCCAAGACGTTGGAAGCGTTGCTATTGTAAGTACCAAAGTTGTCAAGGGGACAGAAATACAACTACAAAAACTACAACCAGTAACTCCTTGTGTGGTGTAAGAAATTTAAAACAAAAAGCAGCAAACTTTGTAGCCGGTTTGCAGGAAGGCTATGGAAGAAGATACGTTTGCATCGCTTCCCTTCCTCCCATAAATCAAAACATCCCTCTAAGGCAGTGTGCACGGGCACAGGTTTGTGCCTTAACAACATGGACTGTACAGTTGTCTAGATTTTTTAAAAAATATTAGTTAATATTATCAATTATTTCCCTCTTCATCATCCTTTCCACAGTGTACATGCCGTTGACGGGTGTGGAAAGGAAATCATAAATCCGTAATCTAGGAATCTGAATCTTTATACAGCTCTTCCCATTTGTCAATCACACGTAATTTTTCTACAAGCCTTCAGTCTTTTATCTGCCTCACTTACAAAACCGTGTATGCCATTCTTTGGGACTGCAGTATGGTTAAGTCAGACACACGTTCAAGAGCTTCAAACACACTTTTCATGTACTGTTGTCCGTTATTTTCCGTTCCCCAAGTCAGTTGTGCTCTTCACCCGCTGCTCGGCAGCCAGTGCACAGATACTGCCATGGGCACCCGCCGTAAGCCAGATGGACCAAATCACAGGAGGTTTCCCAAAGCACTGCAGATACCTCGTGTGTTGCGTAACGGCAGCAGGCGCCGTCAAACGCGGCTCTTCTAGACACACAGAGACTCTCATCAAGCTTTCACGGATTCTTTTCTTTTTTTCCCCCTCTCCATTTCAAGTGCATCACACTTGTGCACTAACCTACAAGATAAAACGATGACAATACCTAAACTATACAGCATCACAGCCACTGTACTTGTCCCATAACCATGCTATTGGTCTCAAATCCTAATAAAAGGACATGGAGCTGCTGGAGCAGGTCCAGAGGAGGCCATGAAGATGATCCGAGGGCTGGAGCACCTCTCCTGTGAAGACAGGCTGAGAGAGTTGGGGCTGTTCAGCCTGGAGAAGAGAAGGCTTCAGGAGACCTTCTAGCAGCCTTCCAGTACCTAAAGGGGCTACAGGAAAGCTGGAGAGGGGCTTTGCACAAGGGTGTGTAGTGATAGGACACGGGGCAATGGATTTAAACTGAAAGAGGGGAGATTTAGATTAGATCTGAGGAAGAAATTCTTCCCTCTGAGGGTAGTAAAGCACTGGACCAGGCTGCCCAGAGAAGCTGTGGCTGCCCCATCCCTGGAAGTGTTCCAGGCCAGGTTGGATGAGGCTTTGAGCAACCTGGTGTAGTGGAGGGTGTCTCTGCCCATGGCAGGGAGGTTGGAACTAGATGATCTTTACGCCCCTTCCACCCCAAACCATTCTGTGATTCTGTAAATCCTAACAAAACTCAATGCCTAATATATTACATCATACTCAGTTAAAATGCAACAGAAGACCAAAAAAACTCCAATTAACTAATTCACAATTAAAGAGGGTTTCACTGGATGAAATATTTCTGTTTCATGAACTACCTTCTCTCTCTCTCTCCGTGTTCTCTGTAATTTAACAAACACCAGTAACAGCATTGCACTCAGGCAGAGACCGACAGCATGAAGCAGCCTCTAAACCTGGATCCGTGATCAACATCTGGCCTTTGCTTTACTCCAGCAATGATTTAAAGAGCAGCAGGATTATCCTGCATTGTCATGTCCAGATGCTTTTAAATATATATTAAGTATCTGCCCAGAGAATACATGTGCAAGTATAAAAAAATAAAGAGATATCCTTAAAAACAAGCATATAAACAGGAAACTTGGGAGAACGTAAAAGCATCAGCACAAAAGCAATTATGAACCTGCCCCCTTCATTCACAGCCCCACTTTAGGCTCGGATGGGGTGAGGACAGGATGGGGTGAGGACAGGATGGGGTGAGGACAGGATGGGGTGAGGACAGGGTGCCCACCGACCTACAGACATGCCACCCACTGCTTCAGAGTTAAATGGAATTAGCTTTGTACGTAAAATAGAGATTTGGTCTCTGACATTACTTGGAATGATTAAACCAGGGAAGGAGACAGTTACAGAGAGTCCTTTATTTAATACTAAGAAAAAATCTCTCCAGCTCAGCACCAAACATCAGGCTGTCCTTGTTGCAAATGATCTTTATAATGCTGAGCCTCAATGTTTGCCCTACAATTAATGCTCGCAGTAATTCTGTACATGAACAAAATACTTCTAATTAACGGTTATTTCTTAATATTCTCATTTCTCATAACTGGAAATGCCCTTTTAGCTGACGCTGATAGCCAACAGCCTCCCTCAGCCTTCCAAGAATAGCTGCTACCACCTACCATTCTCAAGATAAATGAAATTAAAGATCACCCTTTGGAAAGGCAGCCAGAGCCTTCTGACTTCTGCTCCGCTTCATACTTTTCTACCAACCAACAGCAGCAGGGCCAACACCAGTGTCTCCAGGAACGACGCAGCTTTGGTTCCTACAGCACCACGACGGGAAGCGCAGCCTTGAGGCATCAGTACCAGTTCTCTTGGGAGACAGCAGGTATTTTACAATTCTTCATTAACTTCTCATCAACTTTCAACTCTACGGCTCTGTTGCATGATGAGCTTTCTTACTAAAAAGACCTTCAATCCTGAAATTATTTTTAAAAGCTACCCCGTGGTGCAAGGCAACTTCAACAGGGAGGGACAAGGTTCTTCTGCTCAAATAGCAAACACATGATGGACAAAAGGAAATCTGCATTGTAATATCTGGCTACTTTGTTCTTTGATGCGGAATGGTTGCAAAGTGGTGTCAAAAACCAGGACAATCCCAAGATTTTCCAATGTTCCTGAGTGTTAAAAAAATAAAAATATCCCCAAAGAAACCCAAGGGTATTGGAAAACTTGCTGCAAGAACAAAAATTTAGAACAGCAGAACAGATTCAGTATGTTTTAAACTACTAGGCACAGCACCCAGAATTTCCCTTAGTGCCTTTCCAGTGCTCACGTACAACGTTTCATGGAAACAAGCAAAGGAATTCACAAAGAAAAAGATGTTCAAGACAAAATAAAGACATAACTCAGGCCAACAGTTTCAGATAAACAGCACGACAGGGATATATTTATCCCGAAGGCAGGAACTACAGATAATGGAAGTTCAGATTTAAAGGTAAACTATTAAGAAATTTAGGAGTTGAAGAAAATTAAAATTAATCCATCTAAGAAACCGTAGCCATCACGGAGTCAGGTAAAGGAGAGAGGCAAGGTAAGTAAATGTGTGTTTAAAATCAGATTCAGATGTTCTGATTCAGTAACACCAGTCGACGTGGTTCCTACTGGGCAGAAATAGGACAGTTTGGTGCCTTAACTGGGCATTTCAAAGCAACAGCCTTTGGATGTTGCACACGACCTTTTATCTGAAGTTCCCAAATTATAATGCTTCATTTAGGGTTAATTTCAGCACCTCAAATAATACAATTGACATGGTAAATATGAACCATCAGGCCTTGTCGGCACATGAAAATACATTCTTTTTCTCCTGTACCTTTTGATACAACAAATTTTTAAGACTTAACAAAAACACATCCAATATTTTTTGTCTTCTGTTGTTAATAATCTCAAATACAGAATGCCACCTGAAAGGCAACCAGAGGGAACACTTCAGCTGGTTTACAAGGGAAAAAAGCAATCTGCTGGTTTAATTTTTGCAAGCAGAGAAACCTCGAGAATAAACCCTTCCAAACGAGCTGATCAAGTTTTAAAGATGCAATTCCAAAGCACCAGCCCGTGGCGGAGCGCGCCGTGGCAGGCTGGTGCTGCCCTCGAGCAGGGCAGGCTGGAGGACGCCCCAAGCAGGTTCTCTGCTGCAGCTCATCAACCCAATTTAAGAGACAATATGTGCACGTTCATTAACGTGCGATCTGTAACGAACCTCCTCTTTATTAGGACTGGCTGGGCACTTAAAGCTGCTTCAGCCTTTTGCTGTGCCTGGACCAGTGCTGAGTCACAGCAACCCCCACTCCCTTCATCCGGGGGGCTGGGACCAGTTTATTTTGCTGATCTCCTCTGGTCAGGAGGTATCTTTCCCATAATATCCTGCCCGCTCTTCACGCCAATCTCGTTTGGCAACGTTTGCCAACCCAGCTCGGATATTGTGTTTGTTTGCAGGATCTGTCCTTGCGGCTGTTGTTACACAGGAAGGTCTGGCACGGGAACGAACCAAACCGGTGTCGGGTGCCAAGTGATTGACAAGATTCTGCCCCTACTGATGATGCTCCCCCTCTGACTCCCACTGCGAAAGGACCCTTCGGGGTCCCCACCGCGTGGACATCCCACCCTTCCCCACCGACCCTTCTGCTGAGCCACCGCACTCCTAAACCACCCCGAAACCGTGCCCAGTCCCGCACGGGCTATGGGTGTGGGCATCATGGGCATCACCCCGGTATGCCAGAGAACAGCTTTTTTTTTTCTCCAAAACAACAAATGTAACTCATCAAGAAGAGTATTGGGATCCAGTCTGACAGCAGCTTGATCTGATCCCAAGCGGGGCTGACGGTTCTGCCTGCCCCCATCCTGTGCCAGCACGGCTCCTTCGCAGCGCCAGCAGCTGAGCTGGCAGCAACGAGCAAGGCAAAAAAAAAAAAAAGCGATGAATTTTTGGCCAGATCAGCTCATTAAACCACAGTATCTCCCAGTGCATGGACACTACAGCAGTGTTAGGGAGAGGCAGAACCTCACGACCGTGCCCTCGGAAACCCCTCACGTTTATTTTAGCTGCCGTACGACAACGACAATCACAGACAGCAAACGACTGCAGCATCCTACCCAGTAATTCTTCCTTTTCATTATGGGAAGCTTTTCAGCTACACATTCCTATAACCTTAGTCCCTTCATCAGTAGAATATTCTGTTCTTTGTGAAATATTTATTCTTTGAAATATTAATTCTCCAATTAAAAAACCAAGAAAACCCAACAATCTGGAACCATGAAAGCTTTTGTTTGTTTTGCTGGTTAAACACAGGTACAAAGACACACAGAGGCCACACACAGGAACTAACCTGACTGATAATTTTTATACCTCTCTATATTTTAACAAAAGAGTCATTTATTTCTTTGCTGCTTCATTAGGTCCAGAAGACAACTCATTAAAAATATCTCTTCTCCCAGCACCAAGTGTACAACTAGAGATATTCCAATTTCTAAAAAACACCAAAAAGAGAACGAACTGCGGGACAAAACCAACCTTGATTTGAGAATCACAGAATGCTTAGGGTTGGAAGGGACCTCAAAGATCGTCTAGTTTTTTTTGATAGATTTAAAAAATAAACAAACGTCAGAGTTCTCTAATCCATGGCAGCAAAGACATTTCAAAAAACCCCACAGGCTAAAAAAGCCAGGCTGCAAGGGTTTGCCCAGAGAGTGCTCAGCAATAACCTTCACCAGCAAAAGCTCACGGGCTTCGGAGCAGCAGCATCAGCAGCTTCTGGAGCGAGGAGCACTCAAGCCCTTCTGCATGAACGTCGGTTTAACGACGGCCGCTCCCCAGAGCATCCCTTGCGCAGCAGCCGCCTCCTGCCGCGGTCCTCGCCGGCAGCGAAAGGAGTCCTGCAGGAATGGCCCCGCAACTTTTGGACACTGGGAATTTGGGGCTGGGCGGATGGATTTGTCAACCCGCCCAACACTCGGTCCCGTGGGGTGGATTTCCTCTGAATCCCCAACAAACCTCCCTGCTATGACCCAGGGAGCTGGTGCTCAGCAGAAGGAGCCACTCTTCCTGCTCACTCTACAGTTGCTGCGACATAATGCAAGAGAAAACTAACTCAGAACAGCCACTGTGAAAAAGATTTATAATCCCTCGAGCCACTTTGTACATCAGCTGTGGTGTGAACTTGGAGAGAGGGTTTTCATGGCTTTCTTCAACTTACAATGCAACCATTTTGCTCCACTGTGCTGTTAACAGTGAAAAGGGCTTCAAACAGAGCAGTCTTTTCTTTTTGCCTTTCTCAAACCCTTGAACAATTTCTGGTTTGGATGTGGACCTGGCAAGCTTGTCAGAACAACCATGAAAAAACTCAAGTAAATCCATTCTTCATTAATAAGATGAAATGCTTGCCCTAACAGAGGTCATTAACCTCTCGTCCAGCTACTTATTTGCAGATTTCAAGGTACCAATACCCCAAACAGCTCGAGGCTGGGCCAAAACCTGCCTTTTCTTTTGTGAAACGTTCTCTGAGCTTTGCAATTTGTGTTCAAAAGTTAATCAACAGGTTAAATTTCTTCTTTTCATCTTTAACTATTCCTGGTAAAAGGGATTGTGATTCCAGACGAGGCTGGTGAGCTCAAAAGCTGCAATGCTGGAAACGAAGCCGGCTTTGATGGAAGCACAGTCCTGAGAAGCCCAGAAAACAGCATTTCCAGCTCTGCATCGCACCCTGCACAGCAGAGATGTGACAAGTTAACAAACAGGAGGAGATAATCCTCTGGACAAATGCACGGAGGAAAATTCCATCGCTCTAAGCCTAAACTCGGAGCGACGGAGAGAGGGCAGTGAGCCACGGAGTGCTGGAGGCTGGAAAACATTGCAGGGAGGCATCACCACATGCTCACCCTGCTCAGATCCTGTCCTGCAGGCATTTGGTAGTGACCAGTGTGGGAAATGAAGAGCGTAAGGTTAAACAGGTGTCTGATACGATCCAGTACAGCTGGTTTTCTGTCCCTAGTCTCAAGCCTCCTCCACTTTTGCAACTGCAGCAAACTGCTCTGTATCACAAACAGTTTATGTTTCGGGTGCTTCCCAACCCAGCCAGGCACAGGCAGTTCTTAAATAAATAGCAAAAAACCAACATTCTTCTAGCAAACAGTGACAGGGAGGTGAAAGAGTCCCACGGTTCCTCTGCCCCACAGGAGAGCACAAAAGTGCTGGGGCCTCAATATGTATTTCGGGGCCCCAGAGTATCTCGCTTGCAAGGTAAGCAGCATCTTACCAAAATACAGCAGATTTTGTCTCAAAGCCACAGCAGGTTAGAAGACACTTGGGAAAGGTAAGCAGTATACATGTGCCAACTACAGACTCCTGTTTCCCCCTAAAACTCAAGATTCTAAACAGATTCAGAGCTTAATCCAGCTTAGAAAATTCCCCATGTTGCTGCCCTTTCAATAAGGAAACCAACATCAAAACGTGGTTTTCATCTGAACAATACAAAGCTGCAAGTAGCAAACTTCAGAAATAACACTGATCTTCACCTTTAGGCAATTTGAACCAGTGTAATCTGGTGCCAGTACAACTTTTCCCCAACATCTTACCAATAAATAAATTCACCCACAGAAGCGACTATTTAAAACAACCTTCTCAAACCTTGGCTTGACTATGAAAATATGGGTTTTTTTGTATTAAAGTTAAAACTTTCTCCTGAACCAGAGTACCACCACTCTGGAGTTCTCAGGCTACACCGTGAATGACACAATTTGTATTAAGTTTAGAGAAGGATTACCTCTGTCAATCAGTTCCACTGAAAAATGACAGCATGTGAGAACGAAAGAGAGAAAATTATACAAAAGAGAAACACATTCGTTGAGAGTTGGAAAGGAAACAGATTCCAGCAAATAGAAAGAGAAGATAAAACAAAGATAAGCACAGGCTAGCACACTTGAACAACATCACTCTGCGCTTACAGTGTGACTAGAATTTGTGCAGAGCACAGCCAAGCATTTGACTCCAGCCTCCTCGGGCGCCCGCAGCGCCTGCCAGCGTGGCAGAGCCGCTTTCCCAGTTCACTCCAGCACTGCCAGGCAGGGGCCCTTTTCCTCCTACAGCCACCCAAGTGCAGGTAGTGGCACTCTCCTTGGGTGGCTGGTTGTGCACTGCTGCCTGCTAAGGCTTGTGGTTAAGCTCTTGGGTTCCATCCGAGAAGTGCAACGTTCCCAGCGCTTACCATGGCCCACTGCCTGGCTTTGATCCTCATCTGATTGTAGCTGCGCTCCTCGGCGTACAAGGCGCTCATAAAGGAGCCAATGGATGTTCCTCCGATCATATCTACGGGGATGCCAACTTCCATCAGCGCTCTGATAACTCCCACTTGGGAGCATCCTCTGTGCCAAGAAAAGAGAAAAAAAGAAAAAGACACTATCAGACAAACAGCAATAAAAAGAGCACAAAAACATGAATGCCATCTTCTAAGGGAACGCGAGCGTGCACTATCGCCGATCTCTTCGAAACAAGCCTTAATGCCAGTAAAAGATGTGATGAATGCAGAAATCTTCAAACAGGCTCCCTGAGGGTCCGAGGAAGAACAGACCACTTGGCTGGACTACAGTACAAAAGGCAGCGATACAAAAACAACAGCCAAGAATCAAGCCCGTGGACATGCGAGGGAAAAGTCAACGTGGCTTTATGGGAGCAACGCATCAAAGCTCTGCTGGGGTTCTTCCAAAGCAGCCCAGAACAGCTGGATTTCAGAGACCCTTCCACAAAAGTCTTTTCCAAGAAACTCAGCCAGTCTGGGATCACGGGATGGGTCACCGCATGGATTAATAACAAATATGAAGATGGAAAACAAAAAGCAAGAAAAGACAATGATGAGAAGGCAGGATGACCTAGGAAAGGGGCAGATGAGGAGGCAGCGTTTGAGGATGATACAAATTCCTTCAGGATAGTAAACGTACTCCTTAATTTCAAGAAGTGCAGAAGGACCTCAGGACAATGGTGGAGTCAAGGGATAAACAACAGGTGAACCTCAGCGCTGATGCAACAAGAAAAACAAAAGTAGCCACGTCCCTGCAGCAACGAGCCCTTAGCTAGCTCTGCTCACCCAGAGTTTGGAACCGCTGTGGATATTCTCTGAAAAACATTAACCCAGTGTTCAGTGGAAATTCAAAAGACAAATCAAAGAAACCAGAATAAACCAGAAAACATAGGAACATACAGCCAGGATGGACCAGCGTTTTGAAAACGGCAAGCAAGCTCAGACATGGCAGTGAAAATACAGCAGAACTAGAAAATGAGAGAGAAGCACAAAAGATGACCAGGGTATGGAAAGGACTTCACGTGAGAAGAAACTAGATTCGAATCTCCGGCTGGGGAAGATCCTGACTGATGGGAGACACGCAGGGCCAGCCAACTATGTCACCATGCAGAAAGTTTTATGTAAAGGAAAGAATTTACACATAGACGTGTACGTAAAGCACAAATTGGGGAAACCACTGTTAGCAGATGGTGAAGAGGTCAAATCACAGATGGATTTAAATGCAGACTGGATGAATCAAAGGTACCAGGCTGCCAGTGGCTAAAACTTGAAAAATCAGAGGTGCAACCTTGCGTTCAGGACGCTCAGAAGCTGCTAATTGTTGCAAATACTCATTTCTGGAGCAATCACTGCTGCCTACCCTCGGAAGTGAGAGAGCAGACGTCGAACGTCTGATCTGATCTTATAAACAGCGATCCCTTAATGGCAGAGGGACCCCTGTCCGTGCCACAGAAGCAGAGAAATGGGCAGCGGAGGCTGATTGCCTTCTGATCAGCACAAAATTGCGGCCTCTGATTTCAAACGCTTTGTCCAATTAATATCAAGTCAGTCAATTAGTTCATTCCACCTGGATGGATGCTTTGCAGTCTAAGCCATACAGCAGTAAAAATCTTCCTTTTCCCATTTTCATCCCATTTTTCTGTTCCCCCATGGTTTGCTCTATTTCCGTCCTCTTTCCGCTTGCTGTTTACACCCTATAAATACTTGCTAACAGCTGCCAAGCCCACCGTAGGTGTCATTTGGCCGAGCTATGCTGAACACATTCTTTCCATCTAAATAAATCCCCTCCAGCTGCTGAAATGCTTTGAGACAGGTTCTCAGTTATACTGGGGTAAATGACTTCAATGACAGATCTGCGCTGGTGTAGTCCAAGAGCAGAAAATGGCTCATTAAACTTTCCAAATTCTCCTGCCCCTGCTTCACTATTGCTTCCTCTCATAAGATGCCTGAAGTTAAAAGAACTGTATTTTTATCCCTGCTAGAGGAGCCCATTGTTTTCAGGCTTTTACATCGCAGCCATTTTTGCAACCTGCTTCTTGTGCCTGGTGCTTGCTGCTGCCTCATCCTTGTCTCCAAGCCACCAGCTGACACTGACACTTCGCTCAGGAACAGCCCTTACACCCTCCAGCCTGCTTTCTGGATTTGTTAAGACGTGTTAAGTACTGTAAAGCAAAGCATTTCCTGCTTGGAGGGCGATTTTAAGCTGGCTTGGGCTAGCCCCAGAACGGATTCTCTCCCTTTAACCTCTTCCGAAACTGGATCCCCTCGTTCATGCACCTATAAAATATGAGGGATTTGATGCGACCACTCTGGAATGTTTTACTTTGCTGTATGATGCCCTTGAATAAATAACAAAAGATCATCATTACTTCTATGGGCAAGCCAGCACCTCTGTGTCCCACATCAGCAGAGTCCCTGGCAATAACACAATCTTCCAGCTAAATGTGTAACAGCCACATATCTCTGACAGACACATGGATTTCAAAGCAAGATGGGAGTGAAAGTACTTTTCTTGCTCAGAAAGGGACCTCCTGTTGACTGCCAGGCAAAGTTATGTTTCCCTTCCAACCCTAACCATTCTATGATTCTATGATTTACACACAACCACAAAGCTGATTCTTCCAGTTCCAGCATCCTGAACAGCTTCGTGGTCGAATCCGTTTGTGCAAATTATAATCCCAGGGAAAGGCAAACGTGCCTGAACCCATCTTACTTCTCCACGCACCACCCGGCCTCTTGAAGAAATTACTTCCTTCCCTCCCTACAGCTTTAGGCCATCACTACCCCAAGCAATGGTACTACACAAAACTTTTCAACAACTCCTCACTCTCGGTTCTCTCTTGGCCGCTTCCTCGCAGCTCACTCCGCAAACACGGGCAGGCTGCCAAGGGGAGCTGCGTGCCGGAGCCGGCGCTGTGCCAGGCAGCACGCACCCCGCTCGCTGACCGCCCGCCGGGGCACCACGGAGAGCCGGTGCGGGCAGCGCTCACACTACAGCTAAAAAAGAAAAGAAATTGAAGCCAGGAGCTACATCCCTGTTAACAGAGTCCTTGGGCAGGAAAAAACCAAAACAGAACAAAACAGGATCGTGCGCTTCTTGTAATTCCAGGCACAGTTTCACGGGGGATCTGTCCCATTTTAGAGCGATATGTGAAAATACAAGTGCTTGGCAAGAGAGCACAAAGGACGATGGCTTGTGGCAATGCTGTACGGGCACGGCAGTGCCAGAGCACTCGCGCGGGGTGCAGGAAGGGACAGGGAATTCTCCGGTTACCTGGTGACAGGGAGCTGAACGTCATTTGCTGCGGAGGCAAAGAGGAACAGGGGAGGCCATCTAGGTACAAGGAAGGAGCTTCTCAGATGCACAGTACGCTGCTGGAGCTGCACATGCAGCTGTCCTTTGCCTTAAAGCCACCTGACAGTGCAGCTGGATGGAGCATTTTCCCTGCCAGGATTAACACCTGTCCCCAGGACACTGACAGGGACTCCTGGCACCAAGGACAAATGAGCTAGAATGTTACTTTCAAATAATCTGCACCGGAACCCAAAGACTTGCCCCAGCAGTGCAGAGTCAAGATACTAACAAAAACTCATTTCCATCACATATCACTCCCTAGGACAGGCCTGATGAATCAGCGCCCTTTGCAGAGAGCAGAAACGGCACCAACCAGTTTGAGGATAACTGGGAATAGGAGCCACGCTCCGTTTTCACCCCTGCCCTTGCCTCGCAACCTGATCGAAGCCAGACAAGTCAGGGGTTGCCCTGTGCATCGGCTGCCCCGCAGTGCCACTCACTGCACTACTTACCAAGCTCATGCTTGCAATATAGAACCATAGAACGGTTTGGGTTGGAAGGGACCTCGAAGATCATCCAGTTCCAACCCCCCTGCCATGGGCAGGGAACTTCTTGGGCAGCCCTGCCCTGGTGCTCGGGAGTGGGAGGGTGGGAGAGCAGGAGGGACACGTTGCCTGTTGCAGCCCTTAGCTGAAGGGAAATCTTAAAAAGCCTCCAAAAGCAGTGCCATGCTTCCTAAATTTCAAGTGCCGTCTCTTCTTTGTACTGATGACCACGACTAAGTAACCAGGAAGAAGGGACAAGAGTTACGGGGTTGAAGATGCGCTTCCTTGAAATAACACGGCATGCTGAGCAGAGAGCACAGACTTTCTGCCAGAAGGTCTTGCAGGAAAATTCCTGCTCCTGAAACAAGCCCTTGCTTTCATCCCCCCAGGAAACGCCACCGGCATGGGACTGTAATGCACGAAGGCCAGAGCAACGGATAAAAGAAAAATTCTCCCGTGCGACGTGCACGTGTCTGCTCCGCACGTGCCTGCCGGAGCTCGGATTAGAAAGGACTCTCGGGAAGACGCGAGTGCAGGATGGCTCAGGTTAAAGCGTCAGCAGTAACACAGGCTGCCCTCTGCTCAGGTCAGGGGCTGAAGAAAATACGATGAATACAAAACCAGAGACTCTGCACCAATATTTTCTCCACAAGCCAGGTTTAGCACATCGATGGCATGTTGCCTGTCAGTGTGAGGAAGAACAAACA